TATGAACCATATTCCAGGGCAGACCTCATGCCCAGGAGTGGCTGACCAAACACAAAACAGATTCCATGTTTTTGTGTGCGTTTTGTTTTGGTATTTTTTTTTCTTATTGGTTTGTTTCATTTAGTTTGTTTTGCTTTTGATCTATTATTCCGACCCCCTAAGTAATCCCTTGAGACGATACTGTAGAAGAATAAAAGAATAAATAATTTCTCTCAGAGATGAGCTTCTTTCCAGTTTGTACGGCTACTTTGAGGAACACACTTTTTTTTAAAGTGGTAGCAAGCAACTAATCATTTTTTCGCCTGTTTTCCACACGCACATTCCAATTTTGTTTGACAAATGTACTTCTGACTAATTTGAGCATCTGTGCACCGCTTTAATATTTGGCTCAGGAAACAATTTTTTGGTTAAAAATAAGAGTCATGTTTTGGTTTTAGAATATTTATTTTTCCTAAGATTTCAAGAGATGTGCATTGATTTAAAGGAATGGCTTCAAATTCTGGTTGGGCCTTACAGCTCTCATTCCATTCAGAGAAGAACCCCCTAAGAAGAACCACATTAACACACGATACTGCCTAACTGTCGTCTCTTGACTCCTTGAAAAACCTCACTATCTCCTTCAGTGTGCTTTGTGAAACTAGGCAGAGCCGATGGAGCCAGTAAGTAGGATTTCCCACTCCTAGTTGGACTAACGGCAGACTCTAAATTAGAATGCAAACATGGTGTTGTGTATAAAGGACCTGACCCATTTTAAGAATCCACATTGCCTGTGGCCTCTGACCCACAGGCCACGACCATTGGAGACAGCACTGTGGCTCTGGAATCTGAAGCCATGCTTCCACTAATCACAAGTTTGTTCTTCCTGGCTTTCGTCTTTTAAGAAAATAACTGAATGGTTGCCAGTCTCCTTTTCTGTTCCTCAGATACTTTCTGCTGTGGAGAGAACATCCACAATGTGCGCTGTATAATTATCTTCTTCCTTGATGGATTCGCTAGGCTTGTATGTTCAGGAAAGAGCCAAGTGCTCTCCCAAGAGCAGATGAAGAATGGCTTACAAGGAAGAAGAAAGAACTTGACCTGAGGAAGGGAGTTGCCAGTTCCCTCCTAGGCATTGTGTCTCCTGCCAAGTCACCACTGCTAGGTTGCCCTGTGTTTTTCCACACTCAAGACTGAAAGGGAGTGGTGTTCTTTGTTCAGGCAAACCAGGGAGAGGATAAAATAATAAGAGTAAATTTGTAAAGGAGCAACAGATGTGGTCTAATTCACTGTGACCTAGCTGCACTTCTAACAAAGAAGAAAAACCACCTACCCCTGCGTGTAAGAACAAGGCCCAGCAGGAATTCCTAATTGAAAGCCAGCTCCCAAGTAGACAGAATTACTTTATGCCAAACTGCAGAAAAAGGCAGCACAGGTTGGGCCGTGACCTCACCCATCGTTGGTATCTCTCCAGCTGGTACTAAGGCCTGAAAATGGTGGGCATGCTAATCCATCTCTTGTGCTAATCCATCTCTTGTGCTACTCTACATCATCGAGTCTACCTGAACTCAAAGTTCTCAAGGCAATTTTAGAAGAAATGCTGGGTTTGGAACGAAACTAAAATTTGATATCTGCCTTTAAAAAATGCTTTCATTTCAGTAAAATTCTGTGTACTTGGGAGTGAAGCAAAACTAGTTCAACTGCCCCAAGGAAGAAAAAGAAAAGAGATCGCAATTTCAGATCTTGTCTTGAAATGTTTGCTTGTCTCTTGCAAGCCCCTGTGAGTCACACTGTCACAGCTCACTCCTTACTGGAGAGGCTGACACTGGCTCCCAGTCATGAAGATGATAACTGCCACTCAGAAATGTTGCACATTTTACTAGCTCTGGGGCAAATGACTTCAAGAAAGCAGATCCTAGATTAGGACCCACCTCAAAAAAAAAAAGAACAAACAAAAAACAATTAAGTCTGTCCTTCATCTTTCTGACTCCCGAGTACTAACCCCTGAGCTGGAAGTAGCCTGGGTACTACCAAGACCCAGAAGCACTGGACAATGCCTGGGTCACAGGTTGCAAAGAAATCGAATGTAGCAAGTCTGCAGTGTGGCCTGGGAAATAGTGCTTTCCAGAGATCTCAATGACTTTCTGGAATCACACTTTCGAACCATGCACATACTCACAGAAACCTCTCTGCCTTTCATCAAGTAACTAGTTGACTATGGAAAGTCTTAGCTGATTTCTTAAATGAACATATAATGCACCTGTCACTCTATTGCACCTAGGAATCTTTGTCTTTCTTTGAACCATAAAATACAACTTTAAAATAGTCAAAATACCAGTGCTCTTTTAGGAATTGCCCCTGGTATAGGAATTAAATTTAGAGAAAGGGAGCATATTCTTGGGACTAATTTATCACACACAATTGTCTTGTTGGCAAAGTTCTACCTTTCCAGAGGTCCGTGGTTATCTTATCAATGATTAGGGAACCCGGTCTTTCTGATGCTCAGGACAGACCATTATCAAAGACTTTTGGGCTTGCTGCACCATCAGAGCTCTACTCTAGATGTGAGTTATGCACATGTTTAAACACGTTCCCTAAAATACCTATTCCCTGCGGCAACTTCAGCTCTTTGCTAAGGACTCTGGTGGACACTTCCTGGGACTGAGATGGTGCTTCCTGTATCACTCTCTTCTCTGGATAGATGAGGTTCTCTATGTTCTATATCAAAGTCTCAAAAACTAGTGTCTCCTCATTCCCTTCTTTGCTGAAGGAGTGTACAGCTGGCTGAAAATTTGGTTCAGCAGGTGACAGCCAGAAGGCTCAATCCAGTGTGGTACCTGTTTTATTAAATCCAGTTTTAATGGAACTCAAGTATGCCATGCCTACTCACAGGCTTGCTTCTGGAGCACACATAGTAGCAAAGTTAAGCTGCCAGAGGGATGGTTTCCATCTACCCCACAAAGCCAGAAGTTACGTCCTAGTTGGCTTGCTATGGTTCGAATGTGGTTTGACAACAAGGTTCATATGTTGGGAGCTCGGTGCCTAGTGCAGTAGTGTTGGGAGGTGATAAACCCTAGGCAATGGAGCTGCGTGAGAGGACATTCAGTCATAGGAGCGTTTCTTACAGAAAGAATAGGGGCCATACTCACAGAATCTGGTTCTCTTGAAAACAAGGTAGTTAAGCCTGACTCTAAAACACTGCCTAGCTGGTGAACTAATTCCATCTCCACACATACCCCTGCCTTAATGCCATTTACCATTAGGTCCTTGCCAATGGGGTTTCAAAATTGTGACCTTTTTTCTTCAAAAGTAGCCGAAGTCAGTGTCTTAGTCAGGGTTTCTATTACTGCAATGAAACATCATGACCAAAAAGCAAGTTGGGGAGAAGCGGGTTTATTTGGATTACACTTCCACATGTAGTCCATCACTGAAGAAGTCAGGACAGGAACTCAAACAGGGCTGGAACCTGGAGACAGGAGCTGATGCAGAGGCCATGGAAAAGTGCTGTTCACTGGCTTGCTCAGGCTGCTTTGTTATACAACCAAGGACCACCAGTCCAGGGATGGCTGCGTCCTCCCCATTGATCACTAATTGAGAAAATGCCTTACAGCTGGATCTCATGGAGGCATTTCCTCAATGGAGGCTCCCTCCTCTCTCATGATTCTAGCATTGTGTCAAGATGATACACAAAACTAGCCAGCATAGTCAGGTATTTTGTTATAGCACACAAGATTCAGGAATGCACAACTCTTTACAGAAAATGTTTGTCAACCTTTGGATGAAAAGATATGAATTTATTTTTCTGCTACTAAAAAAGCATCACATATACTTCTACAATCACCCCAAATTTAATATGCTGTGAGAATTTTCCAGTTTGCTTGCTTTTATTTATTTTGATCTTCTGCTTTAGATAACAATATACAAATTCTTGGGAGATTCGCTGATTATTAGAGAAGCAGAATTAAGGCTTAAAAATGATGGATGAGTCTGAAAAGAGAAGCCAGACTTGCACAATGACAACTCAAGTTGACGTGACATCTGGGAGGGGGAAAGTTTGACAAAGCCCCACCCACCGGATGAAGAACTACAGACAATCCATGGCTGCTTAGGAAGGGAGAGTTCGTTCGTTCTCTCCAGGGACAAGACCCCTGGTTGTCCAGTCCCAAGTTGTCAGTCATAAATACACATAAATACAAGTAACAGTGTGTGTGCATGTGTCTGTGTGTGTGCCTGTGTCTGTGTGTATGTGTTTATGTCTATGTGTGTTTATGTGTGTGTGAGTATATGTATATGTGTGTCTATATGTGTGTTTCTGCAAATGTGTGCGTGTGTCTCTGTGTGTGTATGTCTGTGTGTTTCTGTGAATGTGTATGTGTGTTTCTGTTTGTGTTTTTCTGTGTTTATGTCTGTGTGCCTGTGTGTGTGAGAGTATATGTATATGTGTCTGTGTGTGTATGTGTCTCTATGAATGTATGTGTGTGTGTGTGTGTGTGTGTGTGTGTGTGTGTAAAACAATAATAATTATACAAGAAGAGGTCATGACTGGTAGAGAAAGCAAGAAGGAAGAAGGATGTTGGTGGGGTAGAAATTATGCAAATAAAGTGTACCCCTATTTGAAATATGCTCAATAACAAAGTGAAAATGTCATCATTTAATAAACAAGTCACCTACTTACATGTGTGAGAGAAGAGTGGTGTGGAGATTATTTGACTATGTCAGCTGGTATAATTTCTGTATAATTCATAATTCTTCAATGTTCTCCCATCTTCTAAGATGAACCTCAATTGCATCAGTCTGAAATTTGCATTGTTGATAACAAAAGGAAACAACTTGTTTTCTTAATGTTCACCAAGACACGCTGCTCACTGCTGACAATGAATGACACACATCTAGAAATTACACATAGATGATACTAATCCAGGAATACAGAATTTTAGAAAAAAAATCACTAGCAACTTTTTGATGAAAATGAGAATTTGTGTGGCCTTGTTTACTAATGAGCAAAATCTAGTTATTCTTTTCAGGTGCCGTAAAAATGAGTAAGGAAACTCTACAGATTTAGTTTTTAGCAACTGCAGAAGAGCAGGCTTGTGTCTTGTCCTTTGGTGTGGGACTGGCAACTCACTGATTTTTAAAGTACCAACACGCCCTCTTGTGGTAAGTCACAGTTACTGTCTGTAGGGACCCATTTTATACGACTCGTTTTACAAGACACCAATTTATCTTACATCTCCTCTGTGATGGTTTCATATGGAATAGGAGTTAATAAAGTCTGAATGAACTTTCTGGATCAACTTCTAAAATTACCCTGGACAATAATGAAATTTGATTAAGGCTGTTTTACAGCCACCCTGAATTTCTAAGAACAGCATAAAATCTAACATCCATTTTCTCAGTCTCTAGGACCAGGCTTTAATAAATAAAGTATATATCACTTTCTTCCATACTGGGAGTTATTTAAAAAGCTTGTGCTAGCTCTGCTTTCCAACATGAGGATATGAATTCACATAGAAGCATAAACAATTTTGTTCTGGGGCAGAGGAAAATTCTCTAAGTTAAAAAAAAGGGGGGGGGGTGTTGTGAGAGTGAAGCCTGCTTCCCAGATTCTGGCTGCCTCTTCTCAGAGGAGCTTTGGGTGCCTGCTTTGGCCAGCTGACCGTGTGAACACACTTGACATTGGCCATTATACAACACAAGAGTCAGTTTGTCCCCTCACGTACATCTTGGCACTTGGAATCTACACCGCAGTGATGGTGCTCTGAACACAGCACAGGTCACTTCCCTTTTGTGATCTGTTGTCCCTGCTCTGGGTTTCTACCATCCTCTCTTTCCATAATATCTCCCATAATACGCTTCCTTGCTTGCTTTCTTCTTTCTTTTCTTTGAGTTTTTACCTTGAAGTACCACCACTTAGTAGTGCTGTGGCTCAGAAAATAGTACCCTGAGTTCATTGAGTACTTTGCACTGGAAGCCATTTCCTGTTTTCCCTTGCCCATCTCTGAGGTGAATCACAGAAGCGGCAGTCCCTCCCTCTGGGGCTATCAGAAGCAGACTCCTCCCCTTCAGCCTGCCTGGGCTCCATAAAGGACCCCTGTCCCATCCCCATGATCTTATTCTATCGAATGGAGGGAAGGCATGCCCCAAAACGGAGCCAGGAAGAACCTGGATAGGCCATGCGGGTTTCCTCCCTCTGTCTACATGTCATCTGTAGGATCATTTTGTCCAGTCGCCTTTCTAAGGAGAACTTCACTCTTGAACAGACTCAAGCATAAAAAGCCTTCCTAGGGGCTGGAAAGATTTCTCACTCAGTAAACTGTCTACTGGGCAAGCTCTGAAGACCTAATTCAGATCCCCACTATCTACACAGAAATCCACCTATGGAGCCGGCGAGACGCTGAGTCAGTAACGTGTTTGGCAACTATGAGGACTTGAGCTCAGACCCTAGGCGCCCAAACAAAAGCTAGTCACAGTGTTACACAACCGTAACTCTAGCATTGGAGGTTAGAGCAGACAAACAGCCTTGGGGCTTGCTGTCCGGGCCAGCCTAGCCGAATCAGTGACTTCCAGATTCAGTGAGAGACTGTCTCAAAAATAAGATGAAAAGTGATAAAAGAAGACAATTGTCATGGACCTCTGGCCTCCACACATGTATGCATGGGTGAGCATACCTGTGTACACACATGCACACACACATGCACACATATCCACACACCATACACATACAAGGAAAGTCAGGGATGTGTGACACATATTTGTAATCCCTGCACTGGGAAGGAGAAAACAGAAGGATCTCTCAGGCTCTCTGGCCAACCAGCCTCACTGAATCACTGAGTCCCAGGTCCCAGTGAGAGAACACATCTCGAAGAATAAGGTGACCAGCTCCTGAGGAAGGACACCCAGGACCTCCATACAAAGCTGCAATCTGCACACAAACACATACAAAATGCATGTTCTACACACA